TCAGAACCAGAGAACAGAGGAGCCAGTTGTTGGAAGATACATTCAGCTGATGGTGGAACATGTTTCTAGAGTTAATGTGAAAAAGTGTATACAGTCGTGACTCGACAATCCACCCCTTAACAATCCTAAACCTTGCTATCCGACGGGTTTTTAGGAAAAACGAACGGAACCCATAAAAACAGCCTTAACATACCGACAGCCTTGGATTCTGACTCTGACTCTGACATTTTATGTCACCAATCAGGATAACGGCGTATTATCTGACTGAGCAATCCCACAGATTGGCTACGTTCAGAGTCCAGGACTTAATGCTACATTCAGATTTCTTTGTGAGTTCCTTCACATTTCCAGTTAAATGCGACTTGTATGTGATCTGCTGTGTGAACTTCATACGACCCAAAAGTGTTCCGCATGTGTAGAAGAGGACACGACGACGTCACACACAGCGAGCGTGCTCAGTGTTTATGGAAGTAGACATGGATGGTAACGGTGGAGTGTATCTGCCACTCCCTCACCGCCGCCGATGCTGGAAACAGAAGTGTGAGCGCTAACTAAACTAGCATCAGCAGCCAAGTACTGCCTGTGTGTTCTGGACACTTCCATCCCGTCAGAGTGCTGCCCCGGGGTGAATATTCTGATATTCATCATTAATTGGGCCCAGAAAGTACCATTGGGACCAGCCCTACTTGTTATGATCACAACTATGAGCAAGAGATATTAACAACTAATGAGCCTTCCAGCATCAAGCCCTCCTTGCATCTCAACCTCCGTCTTGACAATCCAACAGCCTTGCTGTCCGACATAAAAGGTTTTACATTTGGTGTCGGATAGACTTATGGGATTCTGAGGCATGTCTCTCCTTCATGCTTGTTTTGTTTCCGTAGAGCTGCAGGACTTTATGTTGCAGTGAAGAAAAACGACGCGAACCTGCTGCTTCATGCCATCTGTCTAAAATACAGACATGAAGCGGTTTTATTGTCGACAAAACAGCAATTTCACCTGCAAAATATCAGAAAGTGATGAGAAATCTCAGGCGATTGATACAAAACAGAGAAAAGGAGCACATGTTTGCTCTTTTTTCCTGCTGAACAACCTAAAACCACCATAAAAACACCTGTTTCAAATTGAAAACATTCAGTGCCAGAAAACATCCTTTCTAGTGTGAATATGTGCAATAAATGAGTGTTTCTGCCTTGAACTCTGTGAGAGTTGAACCTTATTGTAAAAAAAACCTCACAATAGACTTTGTTCGGCCGGCTCAGGCTGCTGTCAGCCTCCGTGATGAGTCGTATCAGTTACCGGCAGTGATCTGGGCCTGAGAAGGAGGTGAGCGGCACCAGGAAATGAAGAAGTTGGCAGCCGCAGAGCAAACCAACACCTCCACCTTCATTCCTCCCCTGTGTCTCAACCTCTCCATCTCTGTCACCATCTGTTGGCTTTTTGATCACTTTCTCCGCCGCAACAATGAGATAAATAACGAGCTGCGCCGCGCTCGCCGGCCTCCCCGCTCGCCTCTCTCCATCCTCCTCCCGGCTTCTCCCTCTTTCTCTGGGCCTGAGGAATGTGTCAGGGCGGCACAAAGGAACAAAAGCCTGACGGGAGGAAGAAAGAGGGGGAGAAAGTGAGGTGAAGGGGAGGGAATGCAGGACCGAGCGCGGCGGATCACGGTCCAGTGGCTCTGAATGCGGAGCGCTGCTTTGTCATCGCGTGCTGACATGCAGCATCACACGCATTTCAGAGCTCTTTATCAGGCCAACACAAGGCCGCCGCCGCCGTGCTGCGTTCAGGGCCCTGCGATGCGTCTCCAGGTCACGTCTTCCAGCTCTGCTCTGTGAGCTTTGTGTTCAGATCTTTCTGAACGCGGAGGCTCGACCAGATGTCGGTCCAGTTGGACCTGAAACGTCTCCAGTTCACAGAAACGCTGAAGATTTAGAGGGAGAAAACTGAAATGTTTGGAATTAGAAAAAAATACAGGAAAGAAAACACACAGAGAGAAACATGTGGAACACCACGATGGACAAAACACACAGAAAGCCATAAAGTTGTGTCTTGTTTGTGTTGTTTTGTCTCATTTTTTGTCATTTTGTGTCTAGTTTGGGCCATTGTGTGTCTCATTTGTCTTTAGTTTCTCATTTGTGACGTTTATGTTTGTCCCTGTTTTGTTGTTTTGTGTCTCTTTTTGTTGTTTTATGTCTGATTGTTGTTGTTTTGCATCTTGTTTGTGCATTTTTTTGTTGTGGTGTCTCGCTTATGTTGTTTTGTGTCTCTTGTGGACAATTTTCTGTCATCTTGTGTCATTTTTTTTTGTCATTTTGTGTCTCGTTTGTGTCACTTTGTGTCTTTTTGTCTCGTTTTTTTTTTGTCAGTTTGTGTCTCGTTTGAGTCATTTTGTGTCTTTTTGTCTCGTTTTTTTGTCCGTTTGTGTCTCGTTTGTGTCTTTTTGTCTCGTTTTTTTTGTCAGTTTGAGTCTTGTTTATGTAGGTTTGTGTCTTGATTGTGTCATTTTGTGTCTCGTTTGTGTCATTTTGTGTCTTTTTGTCTCGTTTTTTTGTCAGTTTGAGTCTTGTTTATGTCGGTTTGTGTCTTGATTATGTCATTTTGTGTCTCATTATTTCTTTAGTTTCTCATTTGTGACATTTATTTGTCTCTTTTTGGTTGTTTTGTGTCTTTGTTTTTAAACTTCTCTTGTCATTTTGTCTCGTGTTTTGTTATTTTGTCTTGTCTCTGTCATTTTGTGTCTTGTTTGTGGTGTCTCGCTCATGTTGTTTTGCATCTCCTAGGGACAATTTTTCTCCTTTCTGTCACTTTGTATCATTTGTCAAATTTTTGTCTCACTTTGTGTCCTGTTTATGTGGATTTGTGTCTCGTTTGTGTTATGTCTCATTTTTTGTCATTTTGCATCTCGTATGTGTCTCAGTTTTTAGTTTCTCATTTGCTAAATTTATTTGTCTCTTTGGGATAGTTTTGTGTCTAGTTTTTGTTGTTTTGGGGTCTTTTTCTACCTCACTTTTACCATTTTGTCAAATTTTTTGTTATTTTGTGTCATGTCTCTGTCGTTTTCTGTCTCTTTTTGTTGTTTTGCATCTGATTTTTGTTGTCTTGCATCTTGTTTGTCTTTTTTGTGGTGTCTTGCTCATGTTGTTTTGCATCTCCTAAGGACAATTTTGTCTTGTTTCTGTCATTTTGTCTAATTTTTTGATTTTGTGTCCTGTTTATGTGAGTTTTTGTCTTGTTTGTGTCATTTTGTGTCATTTTTCTTTCGTTTCTCATTGGTTTTTCTTGTTCTGCCTTTTTTATTACTTTTGTCAATTGGCTCATTTTTTGTTTTGTGTGTCATTGTTGTTGTTGTTGTTGTTGTTGTTTTGTCACATTTATGTTTTTAATGTCCTGTTTTGTTTTCTTTTGTGTTTCCTATGTTCCTTTAGTCTCATATTTGTTGTTTTGTGCCTCTGTATTAGACTGCATTTACAGTAAGCTCCTATAGCATACCATAAAATATAAAACACATGTAATTATATAGCACAGTCTCCGTGTTTATGTAATGTCTGTCTAGAATTTGTATCTGTGGATTAACAGTTTCCTGCAGAGAGACAATCATAAGAGAAAACGTAGACTCTTCGTCCAATTGGTCCAAACAGATTTTTTTAAAATACTGGCAATGGAAACAGTTAAAGAGTTAAAAGGCTGCAAAAAAGTGAGTGACAGCAAAGAACAGGAGAGGATGTGAGGCTGAAGTGGAAATTACAGCTCTGATACGCTGTCTTGTGAGGACATGCAGTGACTGTGTGTCATGGTGTGTGGCCACTGACTCTGTGTGTGTGTGTGTGTGTGTGTGTGTGTGTGTGTGGGTGTGTGTTTGTACGTGTGTGCGTGCAGATGAAGGAAACAATGTGAGCAAGCTTTGTTCACATCAAACAGACCCGGCGGGCCCGATGCAATCCCTGGATTTGGACGCAGGTCTGTGCGTAAAAGCGCATATCACGTTACCAAACTTCAATCTGAGGCTGTTAGTCACCTTTGTTCGTCAGTGTGTCTTTGTTGTGAGTCTGACACTGAGCCGGTGTGTTAATGTTCGTGCAGCCTGCGTGGTTCTCCTGACGCCCCCCTCCCTCCCTCAGAGTCTCCCGGGTTACCTCGCGCTAATTCGTCGTGCAGCGCGGCGGATGGATCATCCATCAAGAGTCAATAGTTAACGTCCGCTTTGTCCAGTTGCCATCCATCATCAGCGCGTGCGTGCGCGAGCGCGTGCGCACAGTATGCGTGTGTGTGTCCTTTATCGGGCTACCTCCGACCCCTGGGCCCCTGACCCTGCCCCGTCTGACGCGTCTCCTCCCCCCTCCTCCTCCTCTCGCCCCTTTCTTCCGTCCGAGCAGCGGGGGGCGCGCAGCTCCAAAGGGGGAGACACCGCCGACCTGCGCCGGTCCCACCTCTTATTTTAATCTCTGCCCGCCTCTGTGTGTGCGGGGTACGGGCCGGTTTTGTCCTCTGACGCAGGCCCCGTTAAATGGATCTCCCACCGGCCGCGGCCAGGACGAGTATCTCGTTACCACCGCTTTTATTTTTATGACACAGCGCTGCGGCGCGCAGGAGGGAGGCCGGGGGTGAACTTGGCCTCCCGGTCTCCTCACAAACACAACCACACACTCTGCCGTCCGCTCAGCCTGCCGGTCTGCCAGTTGACTGCTCCTTCCTTCGCACCGCCCTGCCAAGACGACATGTTCTGTCAACAGACTGAGCCGGCTGCGTCCTCAGTCTTTGAACCATCTGATGGCTCACAAGTGGCAAAAACACACAACAGATATGAGATTATAAGAAGCGAGGCTCTCCGGAGCGCACAGAGTCGGTGTAGCTGTTTCCAGGTGCGCGCCTGGATGGGAGGCGTCTCCACGCGCTGCCTCCAGGGGCGTGGTGCGGACGGAGTGCAGCGGACCTTCTGCCTGTAATCTGTCGGCCTCCGGGGCGTGTCCGCGCAGAAAGGGGCGTGCGCATCGCTCCACCAGTATCTCTGCTTTCCGTGCCATTCATTTGCAGCGCAGCCGCTTATTACGCGCACTGGTGCGTACATGAGATAAGAGTCTGACAGTCAACCCGGGAAGAGAGCAGAAGCAACCGGACAGAGTCCTACCAGCCGGTAAACTCTCTCAGACTCAGACGGGACAGTTGGAGCCTTTTGGCGCACAGACAGCAGCGCAGTTAGACTTGGACCTGACGCTGCACCAACCTGCAAACTGCCAAACATGGAGCGCAAAATCCCAGACTTCGCCGGCACTTGGGAGATGAAGAGCTCTGAAAACTTCGAGGAGCTCTTGAAAGCTCTCGGTAAGTGACTGGATCCATGTATTTATTTTTATATTCACCATGTTTTTCGTGCGCCAACGGTTTCTTGTGAAGCTTTTATTCCTGCGCGCCCTGACGCATGATCACGTGTCAGCTCAGACTGTAGCTGCAGGTCAAATCTTCCCCTGTACCGCCCGGGTGGGGGGTCTTTGTCATTCTGCAGAACCCAAAACTCAGTGCTTTGGCCCCCAGCCAGCCTCACCCTTCATTTTTCCCCCTCTCTCTCCCCCCCTCGCCGCCAACACAATGGAGACAAACGGCGGCACATCTGTCTGAGAAATGTGTGCGCGTGTTTCTGCGGAGGACCGTTATGACACAATACAGTCACATCTTTATCCGAAGTGACAGTCGGAGCGGAGGACCGGACACCTGCTGCGGAGCTCCGCGCTGCTCCGTCCGCGCCACGTCGCGTTTTGGAGCGCGTCTGTCGTTACGAGCCCATTTCCATTAGTAGACGAGCCGCCAGCGCGCACCTGGAATCCACCTGTGACTGCAGCGAACAACGTGGCTCTTTATCTCGCTGCCTCTCAGTCTGCTCCATGTGGAGATGATTAAAAAAAAAAAAACTGCCAAATTGTCCTGAACACGTGAACCACAAGGCGGCAGCGTCTTGACGCACCAATTAGCGTCCAACTTGTGTCTCCATCACTTCTTGTGGCTGTTTGAGGTGGAAACTGGTGATCACAGCCAATAGATGCAGAACAGCTGCACTTGAAACTCCGCTGCAAACAGCTTGCATCAGTCTTTTAGGGTTAGGTCAACTTTAAATGAAATTATGTTCAACTAACAAACTTTTAGCTTTTCCTCTGAAGCCAAATGTATTTTTAATTAAGCATCCACACTTGTGTTGAGACAGAGGAGAGGACTTAAAATCCTGAACTCAAGGTGCAGATAAATTAAGTCAGAATTTCATCAGGTTACAGCTTTAATTGTACTGATGCAGAAATTTGAGTTGAAATTACAAATAATATTAAGTTGATCCAACACAATCCTTCAAAATGTGACTTGCAGCTCAACATTTTTATATACGTGAGTACATTTGATTTCTTCTCACTGAAGATTATTATTGAAGCCACTGTATGCCTTAAAAACAGTTTGCATCAGTCTGTTTGAATTGAGGCAACTATTATTAAAATTATGTTCAACCAACAAACTACACTGAGTTGAAGGGACTAGCTTTTCCTCTGAGGTCAAGATGTGTTGAGACGGAGGAGGAAACCTGAAATCCTGAATTCAAGGTGAAGAAAAATTAAGTTTTTAAGCCAATTTCGTCAAGTTACAGCAACTTGAGTTTAGTTTGATTTCAACCAATGCAGAAATTTGAGTTGAATTTACACATAATGTTAAGTTGATCCAACACAACTCTTCAAAATAATGTTTGCAGCTTTGATTTCTTATCCGGAAATGGTGCATTAAATTAAGTGGTAGGAACACATCTATGGCGTTTCTCTGGTTTGGCATTGAATTCTGAAAACTTAATGAAATTATGTTCAACCAACGAACTGTGTTGAGTTAAAGGAATTAGTTTATCCTCAAATTGTCTTTAAATAACCTTCTGAAATTGCTCAGATTTGTTAAAACAGAGGCGGGAGCTTAAAATCCTGAGCTCAAGGTGCAGAAAAGTGAAGTCAGAAGTCAATTTGATTTAGTTATGTCAACTTGAACTTGTTTAATGCAGATATTTGAGTTGAATTGACTCATAATATTAATTTCATCCAACTAAGCGCTTAAAAATAATGTTTGCGGCTCAAAATGTTTATCAAAGTGAGTAGATTTGATTCTGTATCCTGCAACATTGCATTAAATGAAGTGGTAGAAAAAGGTTAATGGTTTGGCATAAAGTTCTACAAACTTTATGAAATTATGTTCAACCCACAAGCTGTGTTGAGTTAAAGGAATTAGTTTTGCCTCTGCAGTTAAATTTATCCTTAAGATCAGTCTGAAATTGTCCAAATGTGTTCAAATAGAGGTTAAAATCCTGAGCTCAAGACAATTTTATTAAGTTAAATCAGCTTGAATTTAGCTAACAGAAATTTGAGTTGAATTTACACATGATGTTAAGTTGATCCAACACAACTCTTCAAAGTGATGTTTGCAACTTCAAACGTTTATCAAAGTGAGTGAATCTGACTGATGCTGCATTAGTGCATTGGATTAAGTGTGGGTCTATGTTCCCTGGATTAGTTTTCTGGAGCCCGTCTGCCCTGGCATCCCTGCTGGAGCGTTTTGGCCCCTGGACCTCAGTTCTTTCGGGGCCGAGGCCCAGCTGGAGGCGGCCTGTCAGCACCTACAGCCCTCCTGCCTCCGTCCTCTCCTCGTCCCAAATGCTTCCTCTGGCCTCTGCTCTCTGACCTCCGACCCCGACCGTCTGTCCACATCTGATTGTCCCCTCTGGTGTGAATTTAAGCGTTTTTCAGTCGCAAAAAGTCTGCCGAGGTCATTTCTAACTTTCAAACAGAAGCTGCAGATCAGTCTGTGGCTAACAAATGGTCCGCAGGCCACCACTTGACCCCCCGAGGCTAAGCCAAGAGGCCGATGGAGGAGACACTTAGAGAGCTGAGCTGCAGCGATTAGTTGAGTAATGACACAGTTCTCTAGGACGCTGTTTTTTTTCCTCAGCGTTTCGTTTTAAAGTAGGGCTCAATGAATTTGCATACAAAAGGGATGTTTGACATTAAATTTGATACAGATCTCTTTATGAGCTGGAGCTGAAGGATGCAAAACATTCAAATCAGACTGGGATTATTCTGACAGATACTGCAACATAAATCACGATTTTAGTGGGAAAGGCTTTTCTTTTCTTATCTGAAATGCATCTAAATAATTCTGAACCACAGTGCTTCATTTATGACTACATATTTTACCTTTACCACCAAAACTGCAGCTCCTGTGATTTGGATTTTGTGTTAATATTTCAATTGACAACTAGTTTACAATGATGTAAAACACAGCAATCCTCACAGTTTTAATCAGTTTTCAGACACTTTTGCTTAAAGTTCTATAAAGGATTCTAATCATCAGTTAATCAATTGGTCATGTTTGCTGAAACATGTTAGTGGAAGAAGTAAAAAACTTGATATAACCACAGCGTGAAACAATCGATTAATCCATCGGTTGTCAACCAATGGACTGATCCCCAACCATTGTGATAACTGAATAATCAGTGTGAGTAATTTTTTAAGAAAATAAAAAGTTTCTTTCCTCCTTTATGACAGTAAATTGAATATCTTTGAATAAAACAAGACGTTTTTCATCGTGGAAAACTTTGGAAAACATTGAATGGACATTTTTAAAACCAAATGCAGAAAATTATCTGTAATTTCCAGCAACAGTTTTATAATTCTTTATATATTCTGTATGTACTCTGTAAAAACTGTAATTTTTTTTGCATTTTTTTAACCGTAAACAATTTACTTTTACAAATTTGTTGTCTTCAGCTTTGACATTTTCCATCATCAGATCACAAAACTAATCGATTCACTGAAGAAGCAAATGGTGCTGCTGCTGCATATTTGGAGCCGAACCTGACATGAAATACAAAAACTTAACGAGTGTGTGTGTGTCTCCTGCAGAACAACTTCGGTACATGCGACTTGCATGTTGTCCGTGTGCAGCCACCATGACGGTGCACATGTGCAGCTCGTACAGACGAGTGACCGAGCGTTTCTCTGTGTATATATTTACACTTGGTGACAGGTGGGAATGTGCGAGAGGTGAGAAGTGTGAAACCCAACTCGACGGCAGATACACCAGCGGGAGACGCACACACACACACACACACACACACACACACACACACACTTCCCCTCACACTTGGACAGAGATCTTGACAGACTGACTCCCCCCTCCAGCCTCCCTCCCTCCCTCCACACCGGACGCCTCTCTTTTCCCACGCTGCACCACCAGCTTCCCCTCCTTCTCGTTTTCTGACATCCAAACCTTCTCCTCTCTCAAACCCTCCTGTCCATGAACCCGCTGAACTCCAAATGCCGAATTATGAATTCACTTTATCTTTAAAATGTCTCAATTTTTTCCACCAGAAACCATAAAAGCGAAGCGAATCGTTGGATTTTCAACTTTCCGACGGTCCTTGAACTCATCACGTGTTCCATGTGCCTCCATTGGAAAAATTAACTAAATCTAAACATCAAAAACACTCACTCAAAAAAAAAAACGTTCACGTGACAGAAGTTAGAGATGATTGGGTTGAGCTGCAGGCAGAGCAAAGACGACAAGAGAGGCTGAGAGGAAAAGAAAAAATACTGGATCAATACAGCAAATCTAAATTACACCAAATATCGGCCAGACACGGTCAAAACAAAAAGAATCAGCACATTTTCCACTTTTCAACAGTCCTGGAAAAGCTCGTCTGTGATGTGCGGTTAAGTTGGAAAAAGAGTCCAAATCCTAATCACTTTATTCCACATGTCTCGTTTAAAAATGTACCAAAAATGAACCGTTAGTTCCAATCAGATTCTGTAAAAAACAAAAAAATCTGCGCTTCTCGTTGCAGCCAAGAAGCCATCAGTGACTCAGCTGTGACCAACGGTCATATGGCAAAAATTCAATGACTATTTGGTTGAACTGCAGGCAGTGTTTCCACAGAGCAAAAAGGAGACGGCAAGAGAGATAGAAAGGAAAATAAAACATGCTGGATCAATAATATAAATCTAAATGGCACCATGTATCGGCCAGAAACTGTCAAGTTAAAAAGACTGGAAAAGCTCGTCTGTACCGTGCTGTTCAGTTGGAAAAACAGTACAAATCCTAATCAAAATCACTTTATTCTACACGTCATGTTTAAAAAGTTGCCAAAAATGAACCGTTAGTTCCAAACTGAAAATTCTGCCCTCCTTGATGCAGCCATGAAGCCATCAGTGACTCAGCTGTGACCAACGGTCACATGGCAAAAAGTCAAAGACTATTCGGTTGAACTGCAGGCAGTGTTTCCACAGAGCAAAAAGGAGACGGCGAGAAAAAAAAAAAAAAAATCCCTTCATTTTACATGTCTCATTTAAAATTTTGAGAAAAATAAATTGAGCTAAATAGATTTTGTAAAAAAACAAAAAAAATGCTGCCCTCCTTGATGCAGCCGTGGGGGCATCACTGACTCGGCTCTGGACAGGAGTCACATGGCAAAAATTCGGCTGAACCGCAAGAAGTGTTTACGCAGAGAGAGCCGACAAGCCCGGAAAATTTGCAGAACCACAATGTTTTCCCAGAGTATTGGTAAAAAAATGTTTAAAAAAATTCTCAGGTTGGACTTACGAGGGTTAAAGAGTCACCAGCTAACACAGAAACACATAAACAGCTTAAAATACACACATATCACTACATATCTCTGTATCCTGTTTACTTTTGCTTTATGCACATATTTTGTTGTCACTCGTCTTAAAACGTGCAGAACTTTGGTCAACTCAGGTTGCTTTAAAAAGTGCTGGATGAATAAAAACGTATTAATTATGTTTGTGCATGAGTCTGAATCTGATGCAGAAAAAGACAACGCATGTGATAAAAGAAGCATTTGTGGCTGTCATTGAAAAAATAAGGATGGAAATCTTTAAATATTAGAATTTAAGGTGAAAAGTGTTTCGCAGAGTCATAAAATCTGATGATTTTAAAGACAAATTGGTGCGTAAAAAACCAACACAGTGCCGGAAAAGGCGAAAACATCGTAAAGTCCGTTCAAATGAAAGCAAAACTCTTGTAAAATCAGGAGAGGCTTTCCAATAAAAGCCTGTTAACAGATGTCAGTGACTCAGCCGACCCGGTTTCCTCTGAGCCTCCACCACACAAAAGTTCCCTTAATGAAGATGTTAAAGTTTGTGCCGGTTCGTACAAGTCAGAGGCAGAGCTGGGAGGGAAATAAAGCAACCAATACAATCTATTCCTGTGAAACGTAGATTTTAAAAGCAGATGCAGATAAGAGCAGAAATGCTGGTGTGGGTCCGAGGCCCGCCGGCGTGTGTTTGCATGTGTGCCGGGATGATGAAGTCCGGGGGGAATGCAGATGTGCGGACACGCTTTGTCATATGACCTCATTGTTTCCTCTGCCGTCGCTGTTGGCTGGGCTGCTTTTACACCCAGTGTGCAGGAAAAACACACACAGGCACACAAACAGGCCCTCGGGCTGGAGTTCTGCAGAATTTAGGCGAGAACGGGTTCAGTTTGCTTCTCAAAGCTCCGTCCTTAAACCCACAGCTGGTTTATTCATCATGTCAGATGCACAGTCTCTGTTTTCTGTGTTCCTGTGAGAGTTTTCCTTCATGTAGCTCTTCTGTCTCTCTAACACACTCCCTGTCCTGCTTCGTCTGATCTTTTAAGGCGTCAACGTGATGCTGCGTAAGATCGCGGTGAAGGCGGCGTCCAAACCACTGGTGGAGATCACGCAGGACGGCGAGACGCTGTCCATCAAAACCTCGACCACCGTCCGGACCACCCACATCACATTCACCGTGGGCCAGGAGTTCAACGAGACCACGGTGGACGGACGTCCCTGCACGGTACCAAACGCTTCTAGAAGGAAAAAAAAGGTTTCCCGCTGCAGGAGGTCACAGGATGTCTCAAAACATTTAGGGACCGTCACTGTAAAACCTGTGTCTGAGCAGGTACTGTGCAGGTGTTGATGCTGATTGGTTGAAGTCGGACAAGACAAATGCTGATTGGTTCAAACTTCTGAACCCCAAAACTTGCTGGTTTGAAAGGCAAGTTATCTTAAAACAAAGAAACAAACAAAAAATGGCACAATTTAACCACAGAAATTGCAAAAAGAGAGAAAATTGTACAGATGTTTATCTTTCTGACAGTTGCAACTCTAAAAGAAAACATCTGCAGAGTGTGATTCCATCGGTTAAGTGAACCAAAACTAAGCCGAAAATCATAACGGTTCATCAAAATTACTTGAATCTATACGCCATTTTAAATTTGCCATTTAAAAAAAATAATTTTACAAGTTGTAAAATATCCAATTTGCGTTTCAGGACGTCTAGAGAAAGTTCAACTTTTCATGAATTATTGGTAAACACAATTAATTTTAAAAAGTATATCCGAAGCAGCGTCACAAAAGCTCCTCAGCCATTTCAAGGAAATTAAGTGCTGAAATAAAATCTAAATAAATAAAAGAAAACATCCAGTGAGGAGAGCTGTCAGTGTGTTTGGTTGTATTATTACAATCTGGCACCGATTTGTGTCGACAGATTAAAAATAAAAATGTAAAACAGGCAGCAGGTCCAAGTGGTTTTTAAAAACGCTTCAGATCCCCCTAATAAAATCTGTTCCCTGCGCCTCGGGTTCTGTGAGGAGGTCGTGTTGACTTTTCTGGAGAGCAGCGTGTTTCAGAGGCAGATTCTGGTAAAAACTAAACAGTTGAAGTTCTTCATGGAAACCGTGGAACCGTTAGCGGGTGTGACAAACTAAACCGGGCCTGCATGATGTGTGGTCAGGAAACTTAAGCTTAAAGTTGTGTTGGGATATTTCATTGATAAATCTTCATGTCTCACTCAAAAATAAACTGTTTACTGTGAAAAACCAAAAACTCTGCAGAAACTCATGTGACCGTAAATTCAGGGACTTTTCGGCTGAGCTGTGGGCAGCGTTCATGCACAAGAGGAGACGAGTACAGAAAGAAATTTAAAACGTAATTATTAAATATGTAGTTTGTGGAGACAACATATTTCTGTGACGCCCAAAACTGTTGAACATGTTGATTCCAGGTTTTTTAACTTTTTGCTCAAAAGCAAACAAACAAAATCCAAGAATGACATAAAAATGTTGACGTTATACCGTACTGACAGAAGACATTTTATATTGTTGTGAAAAATGAGCCACAGTGAAGAAAAACAGCAGAAGTTCAGAGGCTTCAACTCAGAAGCTACAACAATCGTCCATTAGCAGTTCTATCCTCTCCAACTTCACCATTACCAATTCATATTTATCGTCTAATCCGACATCATAAACCTCCGTTTTCTATTTCCTACCTGCTCATCGGTCTAAAATCATCGTACGTCCAGTATCTAGTATCGGTTGATGCCCTCCTGCAGCGGAAAACCGTCGAATGTTGAGCTTTTATAGGAGTTCTGGTGACAGCAGAAGCTCGAGTGTTATTATTATTATTATTATTTGCTGTGTTTGCATCCATTTACCTTTAAATGACAAGTTTTTCATTAACTTCGGGATTTTGATGCGTTTCCACTCAAACGTTTTAATGCAAAATTGAAAATGTGTGAAAACAAAAAAATTAACAACAAATATCTGGAAAAATGAAGCTTTTTGTTGATTTAAATAACGCAAGTAGTTGAATTTTATAGATTTTATATTACACATTGTCAAAGAATGATTTACTGTTCGTGATACAGATTTTGGCCTGTTTTTGTTTGTTTTTGTTTTTTCTTATCAGTCAACATGTAAATTAACATTTTTTCAGCAAATTTAAGGGGTCATCTGTAAATTTGCACAAAAAATGTGTAAAAAATTTAATTAAATATATATATATATATAAACTGATTTATCCATCCTTAATATAAATATTTACTTAAAATAAGCATACTTAAAATATTTATAATTATCTTTTTTGATTAATCAATTTAAATACAGTACAACTGATGTAATTTTACAGACAGATGCAATAAAGGAACGCATCAACATTTATAGAAAGGCGTATTTTTGACATTATTTACAGTTTCGTCACGGTAACTAACATATAAATTAGTCATTTATCTGCGATTTTAAGAAGTTATTTGTCTGTTTTGTTTTGTTTGCTTGTTATTTTTACGAAAAGGGGAAGCTGTGTTAAAAAACAGTAATATATATATATATATATATATATATTATTTTATTGTATTTTTTATTTTATGCGATTATTTTTCAATCCTTAATACAGATAAAAGACATTATTTAAAGGAAAAATTATCTGAATTTAAAAAAATGTAAATACAGTAAAAAAAATATTTTAATTTTACAGTCAAATGTTGTAAATGAACACATGAACATTTATTTTAAAAAAGGCATATTTTTGTAATTATTTACAGTATTGGCCTGTTTTTTATGGCTAATATTTAAATCAATATTTTTTTTTTCTGCAAGTTTTCTCGTCATACTATTTATAAATTCCTCTAAAACTTGCTGTTAAAATCTGTTTTTATATTTCTACAGAGACCCCAAACTTATTCTGTTGGTTTTAACTCTTGTAAACTCAAAGCCTTTCCTCCTGCGTCACAGTTTTCCCGTTTGGTGAGAAGCTGTGATGTTTTTGGAGCTTTCTGGGAGTCACAGTCCCACCAAACTCTCTAAGGCTCTACTTTCTCTGCACAAACACCCAGAACCCAGAGAACACAGAGCGAGCGGCCGTCCGGGGACGCAGCTGTCCGGATGACATCAATCTGTTTCATTTGGCCGTTCATCATAGCGTCTCCCCTCCCTCGGCCCTCTGAAGGCCTATCCAGCTTCACTCCTTCAGCTCTCATAGCCTCCTTCCCGCCCTCCGTCCCTCCCATACATGGCCTCCGTCGGTCCGTCTCCAAAGCAAACAAGGCCGCTAACGATGAGCGCATCTCCACTTCTCACCTCTCAGCGATCGGCCCTCCGAGTCCCTTCCTGCCTTCCTTCATTCATTCATTCATACCACTGCTCTCGTGTCCTTCCTCAGAGTTTTCCACGCTGGGAAACGGACAGCAAGATCAGCTGCGAGCAGACTCTGCAGAAGGGAGAAGGTCCGAAGACGTCCTGGACCCGAGAGCTCACCGGCGAGGGCAAACTGATCCTGGTAAACACAGCGACTGTCCATCCACAGCAGGTTCTCACACGTTGCTGGAGGTTACAGACACACACACTGCAGCAGTTCTGTTAGAACACAGGAAGCTGCTCCACGTCCACCTGCTGGGTCACATTCAGCCTGACTCTTGGGTTAAATCTGACTTCTGTGGTTGGTTTTTGAAAGGATTTGACTCATTCAAGAGGCTTAAACATTGTAAGTTCACTGCTGACAAAACAACAACAGGTAGAGCTGCACCGAGCCCAAAATATTAAAGTGAAATAAATAGTAAACTAGATGCCCTGTAAGGACCAGTAGTCAGTACGGATGCAAAAATAATTACTTCTTATGAATCAGACATAAAATCCTTTATCAACCCTCAAACTTGAAGCAGTTTCTGGATATTTTTTTCTTCACTGATACGACCAGAATGACAGAAATGACAAAACAAACAAACCAAAACTCGAATATCTTTGATTATATATCTTGAAAATTAAAATGACAGACCTGGAATCAACAGGTCCAACATGGCTTTAAATGCCCAGAAGTGTTACCAAAACTAGAAAACAAACAGCTGCTTTAAATATTAAACTCTAATCACTTTCTTGGGGTATATATTTTTCATTTAATTCAGTTTTATTTATAAAACGCAATTTACAACAAGTCATCTCGTAGACCTTCGACCTTTAACACTCTCTTATATAAAGTGCTTTTCTGTGTACTTATTTTACTTTTATAATGTACACTTGTCCTTTTTTTTTTATTGCTGCTGCTCGTAGCATTCACTTTATTTTATTTTTGTTTATTTACATTTTATAAAATGTATTTTATTGCTGTTGCTTGTACCTTTCTCTTTAATTTATTTTAATATATTTTAATTTATTTTTATTTTTTCCTACATATATTTTTATTGCTGTTGCTCATAGTTGTCTCTTTACTTTATATTAATTAGTTTTAGTTTATTTTATCCTATATATATATATATATATATATATATATGTATAGGCTGCTCTTACCTTTCTCTTTATTTTATTTTATTTTATTTTAATTTATTAAAATTTTTTCCTATATATGAAGCCAACTTCAGAGTTGTAATATACTCGTGCAAATGGCAATAAAATTCTATTTTTATTTCACTATGAAGACGTCATTTGAGCAGCAGACATGTTTAACTTGTCAGCAACACGACCTGCAGTTCAGCTGAGAACTTCCTGAATTTTGATAAATCGAATGTTGGTCACAGCCGAGTCCCTGAAAGGTTTTTCTTTGTGTCTAAGAGCACAGAATTTTTTGTTTTTCACAGAATCCGGTTCGAGCAAACCGTTTGTTTTTGGCAAATTTTTAAATGTGAAATGTAGGATTTTAATGAAATATAACGATTTTCAGCTTAGATTTAGTTAATTTTCCTGAATGAGCTGCAGGTCATAGATGATTAGTGAAATAGCTGTCTGAAAGGTTAAAAAAAAAAAAAAAAACGGACATTTTTTTCTGTTTTTACAGTTTCTGGCTCAAACAAATGGTGTAATTTTGACAATTAAAAAAAAAAAAGAAAAGCATTTCGAATCCATTAGCGAGTTATGAAAGTATGAAGGTTAAATCAGGAACAAAGCAACACATTTCTACTCTTTATAAGAGTCTTCATCGGTGCATTTAACTCACTCTGTCACTTTTCATGGAGTTTAAAGTCTTTCTCACAGTTTTTGTCAGCAGAAAGTCCATTCTGTTGTCATAAAGACGTCTTAGTTGTCATCACACAGCTTAAGAGTTGAGCTTCATAATAAAAGACGTCTGATCCAAACGTCTTCTGCTGATGAAAAGTCATTTAATGGACCTTAACTGGGGATTTATTTATTAAACCTTTAGGTATTCTTTTGTTCGTAGCGGTGGGAGCTGTGTAGGTGATGGCATTTAAATAAAGGTTGTGTTTATAATAATAATAATAACAATGATATACAGCAACTACTCAGACATTAAATCTGCTGCTACATGGAAACAGGTTTTATGTCCAAGTAGTTAAAAGTTATTTTAAAATCTCCCTGAATAACAGAACTAAAATTTAATGTACTTAATAAATACCTTCTACACTGGATTTTTTAAACATAACATTTGCTTTCCAACCCTAAACTCCCAGAGTATTACTACAATTAATTAACTTTATTTTCTGAATTCCAAAAAATATTATTTGTGTTTCTCCACTTTTTCTGAATTTTTTGTTTTATTAACCAGTAAAAAAAAACTCCTGCATCTTGCGTATTATCTACAGTAAATATTCACAGTGTAGATTTGTCCATCATCCTCTAGTCGTCCCTCCATGTGGTGACATTTTTGCACTCGGCTGCACAACATCGGAAAAAAAATACCCAGTATTTTCAGCAGGTGACTTGAACAAGTCAATCTGGAAAGAATGAATCACTCTAGGAATTTGTAGGGAAAGTGCATCGGCAAAGAAAATAAAATTTTAATTAAAATAAATAAATAAATGGTGTAGCTCTTGCAGAGACATTTTTTAGCTTTGGATGGAATTCAGATTTGGCTTCACACTCGTCAGACGGAGCTTCGTGTCGGCGATTTAAACAGCAAAACTCGTTGTGTTGCCACGTAGTCGAAGAAACCGCAGACAGAGAACCTGTTTTTGGTCGACATCATTCTTTCTGCAGCCAGAATATTTCCATTAACTGGTACCTTGCAACCAAATCTTCCTCTTCAGTGTTTCTCTCCAGTTCTTTGCTAATTTTGCTGTTCGCATGTGCAGCTGCATGTTGACAAACTCCAAGAAGCCTTAAATCAGAGTCAATAAATCAGATATCTCTTGCAGATTAGTCGTGGAAAAGTGACTTTTCTCGTTGTGTCAATCAACAAAAAGCAGTTCAAACGTGACATGTTCGAGGTAATTTGCTTCGCGGTGGAGCGTCGGAGCTAAAATGATGAATAGCTGCAACCGGCAGCTCCCAGTTTTATAGGAGCCACATTTGTAAAACAAAATTACCCTGTAATTTTCAGCCCGTAACCTGCGTTGTCTCTAAATTGCATAATTATATAATTGATCTAATCATCCTCCTGGCGGAAGATTAAAGAGACGCCGCCGAGGTGACACACATCAGCTTAAAGTCAGAGGGTTTAAAAATCAAAAACACAAAGTTCGGAAACTGATAAAGGATCACTAAACTCATTTCAAACATTTCTCCTTTGCAGTTCAGTTCTGCTGCCGACAGAAACAGAACAAACAAACAGAAACAGACCTCCGTGTGAAATGGAAACCACACCCAACCTGCACGTCAGGTTGATTAAAACAAACTTTCAAGTGTATTTCAGACTCTTCTTAACCAGGTGAACCAGTAAACCTGTTCAACTGGAGGTGACACACTCATCCTACAGAAAAAAAACACGCTTCTGAGCAAACTGTAAATAGAACAAACTGTTACGGGGAGATTCTTGACGGTTGGCAGTTAGTTCACGTTCAACACGCCTGACTTTAACCCTCTGAACTCCAAACAGATTCTGGCTGTTTTTCTTTTGCTGTTGTCTCGTTTATTTCTCACTGTGGATTCATTTGACACAGTTAGAATGACAGCGATCATGAAACGTTGAATTATTTTCATTGTTTACTTTACAAACATTTAAAAAAACACCAGAATGTTCAATGTGAGTGTTCAATATTTTTCCAAGTGTCCACAAACTACACAAAATATTGACAATGAGATGCAAAACCACTAGAAAACAGACACAAAGCAATGCTAAGTGACCACAAAGTGACACAAAAGAACTGCAAAGAAGTGCAAAACGACCACAGAGACACAAGACAACCACAAGGAGATTCCAAACAACCACAAAAAGATGCAAAACAACCCAAAACAGATGCAAAATGACCACAATGATACAAAAAACAGCCACAAAAAGATGCAAAA